AGATTACTCCTGGCGTACCCTGTTACCAATATCTGACATGCAGAATTGCCTTTTTACCGTGAGTGAAAGAACAGAAAGATGAGTCTTTGTATTACCAACAAAGGGGTTGGTAATGGGGAAATATACTGCCCATGTTAGAGGCACACCAAGATTTGGCCAGGGAAATTTTATGATCAAATTGTCTTCTATAAATCTTGCAGAAAGAATTTGGAGGCTTCAGAGCCTAAGATAGTTATATTAATGTATTCTTCAAAGCTTAAAGAGGGCATTCCTCCTTAGCTCCATGCAGTTTATCTTATAGCATCTTTTATAAAATAGTTTTGTCCTAAAATTTCCTCTCAACTTATATATAGGACTCTTCTTGCAACTTTGTGATTTAGAAATGTTACTATGCTCACCCACTGTTAATTTTAGGCATTTTCTTTTTTTTTCTCTTTCTTTTTTTCTTTCGAGAGTGAGTGAGTGAGGGGAGGGGCACAGGGAGAGGGAGAGAGAGAATCTCAAGCAGGCTCCACACCCAGCAAGGAGCCCAACATAGGGCTCATTACCACTGAGCCTGAGATCATGACCTGAGCTGAAATCAAGAGTCAGTCAGATGCTTAACCTACTGAGCTACCCAGGCGCCCCAGGCATTTTCTTTTTATATAAAATCTCTTAAGTAATTGTTTTATTTTTATTCTGTTTTTTTCTAATGTAACATAATCCCATATGAAACAAGTTCTATAGCATATATAACAGAACCACATGATGATTTTGTAGCCCTAACATGTAAGGATAACTTTTTCATACTTCTTCAGTTGGCTGAGAGAGAGAAAAATTATGCACAGTTGGCTACCGTACCACATATAAGGCAATTTCAAACACATTTTAAGATTTTATTTATTTGAGAGAGAGAGAGAGAGAGTGTGAGCACACGAGTGGGGGAAAGAGGGAGAGGGAGAGGGAGAGAGTGTGAGCACACGAGCAGGGGAGAGAGGGAGAGGGAGAAACAGACTCCCCACTGATCAGGGAGCCCGATGCGGGACTCGATACCAGGACCCTGGGATCATGACCTGAGCTGAAGGCAGACGCTTAACCAACTGAGCCACCTAGGAGCCCCTAAGGTTATTTCAGAACACTGTATTTCCAAAGAAGGTTTATAAATATGGAAGGTAATTGTTTTTACAGCATTGACAGTCTTGTTCACACGGTAATTAGAACACCTCTTTTTAGCTACTAGTTTTACAAAATATTAGAAGTCTGACAACGTATGACAATTCTTAACAGTGGACGGAAGTAGAAATGGACACTTAAATCAGTAACTTTTATCTTACTGTTCATTTAGATTTAATATTATCCTGTATTGCCTGGAAGCATTTTTTATTGAGATATAGTTAACATATAACATTGTATTTATTTCATTGTATTACAACATGGTTTGATAATACAAATATATTCCAGAACGGATTGACCTACCTTTAAAAGAGTAGCATGTATTAAGTGGATATAACAATATTATTGAAAACAATATTATTAACCTTTAATCAGTCATGTACTCAAGTTTAATGTATAAAGATCCTCTAGATAAAAAATAATATTGCATATTAAGACATTCTTAATTAGTATGATATTTAATGTAACATGAGTACTAATGTTTTTGAGAGAGAATTAAATGAAATATATTTTTAAATGCTGAATAAATGCAATGATTTGATATTAAAAATATATTTGCAGTATTATGTAACAGAACATACTGCCAGCCTCATTAGAAACCAGACCGGGATAATTGCCAGTGTAATTGTCATTCTTAAAATTCCTAAGATTTTATGTAATTTGGTTCCATAGCTGTGACAGTTAATTATCATGGTTATTTATACATTATATTGCCCAAAGTAGTAATTTAATATAGGTGTAACTTGTTAGAGAATTGGGTATGTGGTTTTTTTGTTTGTTTTGTTTATACAGAAGGGAAAGAGCTAGTAACTTCAAAACACTGCTGAATTATTACATGTTATCATTTATTTAAAAGTAAATGCCACGTGCAGTTGTCATGAAATTCACTTTTGCAATTTTTGCTTTTTGTTTTGTTTGCCCATAATAGGCGCCTTCCCTGTATGCACCTTTTCCACCAAGTGTGTGTTGACCAGTGGTTGATTACCAATAAGAAGTGCCCCATATGCAGAGTGGACATTGAGGCCCAGCTGCCAAGTGAAAGTTGACACCATGTTTCAGAACTCTTGCCCTCCCTCTCATTCCTATCCTCCTGGTACTGCAGTCAACCAAAGATGGCGTGACTTACCTGCGCAGATTTGGAAGCCTTGAACTTAGAGTGCGGCTCTGCTATATGGTACAACTAATGCTAGACCTACAGTTTATGTATACAGTTGAGTTTGATGTATTTATAAAAGCTTTTTTTTCTAGATTTGACATTTTTCCTGTATCATTTTACTGTATTTTTGCATGGTTCCTTGTATTGCATTTCTTTGCACATATTATGGGCTTGTGACCCTAAACTTGCAGGCAAGATTAGCTGCTTTAGTAAGTAGAATTTTGTGGTCTTTTTGTTTTTTACATAGTACCAGGTCTTGAGAATTATGAATTTTTTTATCCATTACTAACCTTTAATTTAATCAATCATGTACTTTAGTTTAATGTATAAAGATCCTCTAGAAAATGATAATATTGTGTATTAAGACATTCCTTAATTAGGACAAAATGGCTGCTGTATATTTACAATATGGAGTTCTGAGTTAAATACCATCCTTAATACTGGGAACAGAATACAAACCATATTCAATCAGATGCAGGTGGTATTCACATCACCAGAGTGATCAATAGAAATTTTCTTGGTGTATCCTTTTACTTTCAGCACAATGCAGATAGAGTTGAATATTGATATCATACATTTAGACTGCTGTTCTGATTGTATTTATCTTTTTCCTACATCATTTAGAACTTTTATTTCCCTGAGTCAGTTTTTGCTGCTGTGAAACAGCTCTGATGAACACTAAATATTAATTTCAATTAGCTGGATTGTACATACTTGCAGATTTAACAAAATTTTAGGGAAATTGAAGAAGACATGTAGAATTTTGTTCAGTCTTCTGCTAAGCACGTATAGTAAGGATATCTGCTTTAACACTGATTTTGTAATAAACACATTCAGTCAGGATTTAGAATTGCAGTCATTGGCAGGTATCTCTGCATTCATAGAACTTCTCAAGGTCCCAGGATCACTTTTAAGGGATTTTATTAGTTTAAAGATAAATAAAGTCAGCTGAATCTACATGTCTCTTGTTTTATTTCTCTTTAAACTTGAAAACAGTAAATCTGCACATACTGTGAGGCACAAATTATACTGTCAACCTACTGTTGCTCTGGTTTTAGACTCCCACTTCATACATTACCAAGAGTCGATCACTGATTTAAAATTTTTAATTTCTATAGTTAAGATTTACTGCATAATATAGAATATAAAGTTAAGTTAACGTACTAACATTTCTCCTTTGGAGAAAGTTTTAATCCACTTAAAGATGCATATTATCAAGATACTTTCATATACAGGATAGCCTAATTTTATTTGTCTAAATATGCTTAACATGCCCCAGATTGCAAATGCATCAGTCAGTAACGTCACTGTCTGTATGTGGAAGACATGTTCCCATGGATCATATGTGAAGATGTCAATAAGCTTGCATTAAGCCACCTGCTTTGTAAGTGGATTGATTAATAAATAACTTATATTTCTATTGTCTTTGTGTTTCATAATTAGTTTTATAAAACAGTTTCTATCAAACATCTTGGAATTCAAAAATAGTGATCTCACTCAAGTTGACATTTGCAGAATTTTCATATTCATTCAGTTATGGCTACTTGCTTTTTTTTTTTGTATTAGTAAATGTAACACTGTAGTAATTGTCAATATCAACATGCTTCTACATAGTTATGTGTAGAGATGGAGGATGGACTATGGTTAAGAAATTTGATGTAAAATAACATTTTTTAAAAAGAATACTTGATGATTAGGCTGCAGTTGTAGAAGGGCAGAGGAGGGAGAAAAGAGTGACCATGGCCCATGCCTGCCATCTTACCGGGGAAAGGAGCAAGTAGCCTGTCTTCAAGTAGCCTGTGATGGGGGTAGGACTTTTGCACTGGAAAAGCCAGGGTCCCTGTCAAGGGTGGAAGTATATATGGGGAGAATTCTATACAGTGGAGTCCTCTTGATGTTCCTCAAAACACAAGAAGAACAGATAGATTTCTCTATTTTTTAATATTACATCAGATTAATATTACAGCACGACTACCTGTTGACCTGTTTCATAATTGCTACTGATTTTTTTTATGTAGATAAAGCCTTATTTCTTTAAAATTTATTTAATACAAATATTTGTGGCATAAACCTGGATTGTTAATGCAGGAGCTTAGTAAGCAACTGTAATTAGTTACAGAAAATGTGATTAGTAATGAACCAAGTACAGAAGATAATTTTTAATATTTTAACTTTTGTGCTTTGTTTTGGTGTCTTCCATATCCTGCTGCATCTTATGTCAAAATGAAAATTTCAGTGATAGCTGTCCAAATACTTTAGAACTAAAATTCTTTTGTCAGAAAATCCTTATTTTTATTGTTGTTAATATGCAAGTGATAAACTGATATTTGAAACATTTTTCTTACTCTGGTGACTTTATTTTAGCTGCTAACATGCTTCATCATTTGAACCATAACAATTTGACACACAGAAAACTATAACTCTTTTAAAAATGGCATTTATAACACTTAACAGACTCGACATTTCAATATTAGTATTTCATAAATGGGAATAGTTTAATTCTGTAGAAAATGCATCCTGATTTCGAACTTACCTTCCAACTCCTCTGAAAACACAGTGAATTTTCTTCTTCAAGAGGAACATGCCTGCCCTGTTGGTAGAGCATGTGACTCTTCATCTCGGGGTTGTTAAGTTTGAGCCCTACCTTGGGTATAGAGATTACTTAAAAATAAAATCTTGGGCGCCTGGGTGGCTCAGTTGGTTAAGCGACTGCCTTCGGCTCAGGTCATGATCCTGGAGTCCTGGGATGGAGTCCCACATCGGGCTCCCTGCTCAGCAGGGAGTCTGCTTCTCCCTCTGGCCCTCCCCCCTCTCATGCTCTATCTCATTCTCTCTCTCAAATAAATAAATAAATAAAATCTTTAAAAAAATAAAAATAAAAAATAAAAAAAATAAAATCTTAAAAAAAAGACAATATATCACAATATTAGATATGTCAAGGTTGAGGGCGCCTGGGTGGCTCAGTTGGTTAAGCGACTGCCTTCAGCTCAGGTCATGATCCTGGAGTCCCCGGATCGAGTCCCGCATCGGGCTCCCTGCTCAGCAGGGAGTCTGCTTCTCCCTCTGACCCTCCTGCCTCTCATGCTCTCTGTCTCTCATTCTCTCTCTCTCAAATAAATAAATAAAAAAAATCTTTAAAAAAAAAAAAAAAGATATGTCAAGGTTGAAATACCTTCTCTCAGTTATAGATTCAGTCATCTTCTTGAATTAAGAATTACAGTTGACCCTTGAACAACATGGGTTTGAACTGTACGGGTCCACTTATATATGGACTTTTTTCAATAAGTACAGTATAGTAAATTATTTCCTTATATTCTTTTTTAAATTTTTTATTTCTTTATTGTCCTTATGATATTCTTAACATTTTCTTTTCTGTAGCTTACTTTATTGTAATACAGTATGTAATACATAAAATGTACAAAACGTGTTACGACTATGTAGTCAATAAGGCTTCTGGTCCACAGTAGGTTATTAGTTAAGTTTTGGGGGAGTGAAATGTTAACACATGGATTTTTGGCTGCGTGGTTGGTGCCCCTAACTCCCCCATATTGTTCAAAGATCAACTATATGTCCAAAACAACTATTTCTTTTTAATATTGAATGGGGGGCTTGAACTCATGACCCTGAGATCAAGACCTGAGATGAGATTGAGAACTGGATGCTTACCCACTGAGCCACTCAGGCGCCCTAAAACTATTTCTTACTAAGAAAAATAAATGTTACCTATTTGTGGTTGGACCTACTGGGCACAATGTCCTCTCTATGTATTCTGTACAAATTTACAGGCCACACAAATGATTTCTGTAGTTGTGGAAATAATATAGGTTTTGGTGTCAGGCAGACAAGGGCTTTGAATTGTGCAGCTTTGAACTTAAACTTTCTGAGCCTCATCTGTCTCATCTATAAGAATTGGTTGTTATTAGAATTAAATGAAGTAACAAGTGCAAAGAGCTTTGCATGTAGTACATAAGAGTAGAAGTTCAGTCATGCTGTTAAATATGAAACGCTAAAACTTCGGCGGTTCCTGCATAAAATTGACAAAAAAAAAAGAAGAGTAGAAGCTCTACCAATGCTCACTGCATTTCACCCCACCACCCAAAACAACTACCCTTGCCCTTGATAACAAATGGTAGCATAGCATGGTGCTGAACCACAGATCAGTGTTTGTCCTTCTTTGATGGATTGGACTTTTTCTTCTACTAGAGGGCTGGAGGATTTCCAGCACATTGGCCTTTTTCCCTTGCCTTGCAGTCACAAGGACATAGTTGCCCATCAATACCATCCAATGCTATATTTTAGGCAGCCATTGCCAGTGGATCAGAATTGGCAAAGGATATGAAACCATTTGTGTTCTCTGATCTAAAGGAAAATTTTATGGAGAAATTAACAACTAGAACTCATCATTCTCCCCCAATTTTTTCCTCACCAAATTGTGCTATGCAGGGACCTGGTCCCTGTTAAGGGTTAATTAAGCACATACCACTGAGCTGCCTACATTGTTAGCTTCTTCTAGGCTTATTTTAGGCTAATAGCTATTACTGAGAGAGCATGTGGAAGGTACAGGTTTCTAGGAGATGCTTTTGATTAGCCCAAACAAATTGCGTGTCTCTTTTAATTCTTTATCATCACTACAGAGAATGAACTGGATTCACTAGATACTAATTTTCATTGTGGGCTCTGCTGAATCTTGAGTACGAACTTTTTTTTTTTTTTAAGATTTTATTTATTTATTTAAGAGAGAATGAGAGACAGAGAGCACGAGAGGGAAGAGGGTCAGAGGGAGAAGCAGACCCCCCGCCGAGCAGGGAGCCCGATGTGGGACTCAATCCCAGGACTCCAAGGATCATGACCTGAGCCGAAGGCAGTCGCTTAACCAACTGAGCCACCCAGGCGCCCGAGTACGAACTTCTAAATCATTTTTGCTTTAGGTGATAATATTCAATATATATGTGGGGAAAAAGCTTTGGGAAGTGTGGAATTCTGCAGATTATCATTGATACATTGTGCTCTGTAAAGGAAGAATTGGACTTTGTCCACTGCCTGTGTGGCTGGTAGCACAACTCAAGACACTCAGCTTTTCCAATCTGGCCTGCCCTTCCCCCCCTTTCATATGTGGAAATTCATCCTTAATACGGGATGCCCCAAACTTGCTATCCCAGGGATTCTGTCCTTTAGATTTTCAAGAGCTTTCATAAAAGGAGTGTTGGACAGGGGAATGGGAAGAGATATGGTAAATCTCCCATCCACTGCATCCCGACCTGCCTTTAAAAAGGAATGAATGTCTTTCATTGAACTGCTATCTAGTTACCATGCTATTAGCATTTGCTCAGAGAATAAGTTGTTATGGTGTACCTGGTTTCCTAGAACGTCAGTTAGCCACACACTCCTCAGAGTTTTGTATTATCTATTGCTGTGAAATAATTATTTATTGATTTGTAACTCTAGAACTTAGTGGCTTAAACATTAAACATCTTAGTTTCTGCGGGTCCAGAATTTGGAAGCAGCTTAGGTTGGTGCTTCTGGCTCAGGGTCTCTCATGAGGTTACAGTCAAGATGATAGCTGGGGCCCTCAGTCATCTGAAGCCTTTACTTGGTCTGGATGATCTGCTTCTAAGCTCGCTCACATGGCTGTTGATAGCTTTGGTTCCCTCTTGGCTATTGGCCAAGAGACCTCTCCTCCCCCTATCAACAGCCATGTGAATGAGCCATTTTGGACATAATCCAGATTGAGGGGGAGGGGAGATAGCTACCCCTGTTAATAGAAGTGGCAGGAAAAAAAAATGGCTATCTTTAATCTACCACAGTTTGGTAAAACAAACCCTTTTGTTAGAATTACAATTTTTTTTTAAGATTTTTATTTATTTGAGAGACAGAATGAGAGAGAGCACGAGAGGGAAGAGGGTCAGAGGGAGCAGCAGACCCCCGCTGAGCAGGGAGCCTGATGTGGGACTCGATCCCGAGACTCCAGGATCATGACCTGAGCCGAAGGCAGTTGCTTAACCAACTGAGCCACCCAGGTGCCCTGTTAGAATTAGTATTACGAACTTCCTGAACTCATTAGTTTTTTCCCTCCTAAACCAAAATTTGGTGTATGGGAAAGCCATGTGTGCAAAATGATGTTATGTTCTCAAGCATAATCAGGGGAATCAGTAGTGGAAGAACTTTAACTTCTCTATGCTGATACTTGAGTAAAAGAAATTTATGAGGGGACGTCTGTGTGGCTCAGTTAGGCATCTGCCTTCGGCTCAGGTCATGATCCCAGTGCCCTGCGATCAAGCCCCACATTGGGCTCCCTGCTCAGTGGGGAGTCTGCTTCTCCCTCTCCCTCTGCCTGCTGCTCCCCCTGCTTGTGCTCTCTGTCAAATAAATAAATAAATTCTTAAAATAAACCTATGGGATGGAGAAAGCTACGTATTTCTGTAATTTAGAAATTCTTTCTGCAGTATTCTTGATAGATGATTATTATGGTGGTTAGCTTTGTGTGTCAACTTGACTGCACCATGGATGCACCATGGAGTGCCCAAACACTTGGTCAAACATTATTCTGGGTGTGTTTGTCGGAGTGATTCTAGATGAGATTAACATTTGAATATCTGTAGATTGTGTAAAGCAGATTGCCCTCCCTAATGTGAGTGGGCCCTGTCCAATCAGTTGAAGGCCTGAATTTAAAAAAACAAAACAAAAACCTTGGGGCGCCTGCATGGCTCAGTCAGTTAAGCATCTGCCTTCAGCTCAGGTCATGATCTTAGGGTTCTGGGATCAAGCCCCCCATCAGGCTCACTGCTCAGTGGGAAGCCTGCTTCTCCCTCTCCCTCTGCCTGCTGCTCCTCCTGCTTGTGCTCTCTCGTTATCTCTCTCTCTGTGTCAAATAAAATCTTTAAAAAAACAAAACCCAAAAAACCTCACCTTCCATGCCTCCCCCTGCACCCCATGATTAAGGGAAAATTCCCTGATTCATTTTTCTCTTGTCTTTAGACTCAAACTGAGCCATGGGCTTTTCCTGGGTCTCTAGCTTACCAGCCTTTGGATTTGGAACTATACTAATGGCTTTCCTGGGTCTCTAGCTTACAGACTGGACTGTAGGACTTGTCAGCTTCCATAATTGTGTAAGCCAATATCATATAATTTATCCATCTGTGTATCTATCTAGTCATGTGACCATGTGAGCCAATACCATATAACCTATCCTTCTTCCTTTCTCTTTTCCTGTCCTTTCCTTTTCCTTTTCCCTTTCCTTTTCCTTTCCTTTCCTTCTCCTTTCCTTTCCTTCTCTCTCTTCTCTCCCTCCACTCCTTTCTTTCCCCTCCTCTCTCTCTCTCCCTCTCTCTCTTGACTCCTAACTAAAGCAATTATCATGCTCTGGTTATATTCTTCCAGTGATGATGAGGTCACTACCTATTGAAGAAGCACATTTATAAACAGTTACAGTTATTCTTTATTATTATTATTATTATTTTTAGTAGATGTTCCTATAACTTCTACATTCTAGAGCAATGCAAAAATAAATCTGGTGTCTTCCTATATGCTAACTCTTCAGATAAACGGACAGCTATCTTGAATTTTTTAGGTCTTCCCCAAGTGAAATATCCTTTGTACCCTTGACTTTGTTTAACGTGGATCTTAAGCATCTTAGCTCTTCTTGTCACCATTTTCTGGATACTTCTAGTTTATTAATGTTCCTCAAAGTATGATACCTATAAATAATCATTACTCCAGAATGGTGTATTTTCTAAGGGAGCACAGGTTTCCTAGGATGGGTGTGCAAATAGAAGGAATAAGAATGGAGGGTCACCTGGCTGGCTTAGTTGGTGAAGCATGCAACTCTTGATCTCGGTGTCATGAGTTCGAGCCCCATGTTGGGTGTAGAGATTACTTTAAAGATCTTTTAAAAAAAAGGAATTGGAAATGGATTACAAACTGAAGGGAAATGAGACACAGTCTTCACTCTACCATCTATGTGAGACAGGGATTGGTTCTCATGTCTAAGTAGGACTGCACACCCCCAGGAGCAGGTTAGTCCAGGATTGGGGCTGTTACTGAAAAGTCAACTTGATATTCCAACTGGGACACTCCATTCTGCAGCTCCTCAGTATTTTACCAAAGCTGATAGGATATAATACAAAAATTAGAGTTACTCACAATATTTATGTTGTAATAGAGAATAGGAAATGCATAAATAATTGAACAGCATAATTTTACAACTCTTGAGTCAATGATTTGTTATCCTCAACAGAACCTGTACCTTTTCACTTTCTAAGGATGAGTTAATTATATTTTCATCCTTTCATGTACCTTATCTCTATATTTTAAACACCATGAGGGCAGGGACCCAATTTTTATGCCTTTTTTCCCATCTAAGTAGCAATGCCTTTCTTATAGAAGGCATTAAGTTTATTTAAAAACAAAGGGTATGCCTGGGTGGCTCAGTCAGTTGGGCGACTGACTCTTGGTTTCAACTCGGTCATGATCTCAGGGTCGTGTGATTGACCCCCCGCCCCCCGCCATCCCATCAGGCTCCATGCTCAGTGGGGAATCTGCTTGAGATTCTCTTCCTCTTCCTCTCCCTTTGGTCCTTCCCCATTTGGGTCCAGATTTTAAAGAATCATTTTGAGTGGAGGCCCATGGAGTCACTAGAAAGGTGTTTGTTTCTACTCTCTGGGTCGTCTTGCTTCTGAGCAAGATTACAGGCCCTAGACTGGGACATACCCATGCACCCTGTTCAGCCAGTAATAGGTTACCTGGTTACCTGCATGGGATAGATAATGTTGACCTGTTGGTTAAGGTGAAAGATGTCAAGATGGATGCAAACAAGGCAGAGGAAAAGGCTTTCTTTTTGTAAGAAAAATGACTGACCTACCTTTCCCCCTTCCAAAGAAATTAGCGATGGAAATTACTATTTTTATTTATAACTTGTTTTGCATAACTTTTGAGAGAAAATTTTAACGTAACCACCCAAAACTTTTACGTTCGTTACTTTACAATTATTTTCCATCATCATGTTCAGTTATTTGTGAAGGTTCTGTCATTCCTCCAAAATTGCCTCTCATACCTGCTTCCATTTTTCATTTTTCACACTCATCCAAGTCAAATTTTTGTTACATCTCACCTGGGGAACCTTTAGCTTTCCAATCCACTATAATCCATTCTTCATGCTGCCCAGTGGGTCAGCTTTTGAAAACAAAGCTTGACCAAGTCATTTTCCTTCTTAAAAATGTCCCATGATTCCTCGTTTTCTGGATCTTTTGTAGCTTTACCATTTCTATGATCCAAATGTGTGAGATTACTTCTGGTTTTTCCACAGATTTTTTCCCCATTGCTCCCACTTCTTGAACACCTTTGCCATCCCAGCCTGCTAAATTCTAACCCTTTTTTCAAAGCTCAGCTCAAATGTTTCCTTTTTAGTAAGGCTTCCTTCATCTACCCAGAATTAGTCTTCTCCTTTGTGCTCAGTCTTTTATAGGTTCTCCCTCTTATAATAATTTTGTTCCTATATGTCTCCCCCTCATTGTTTTGAACTTGAGGGCGTGGTTCATACTTTATTCTTCTCTGTTCCCTGCAGTGCCTTGCACAAAATGACATTTTAATGTTAATATAGCAAATATATTTTGTCTTCTAGCTAGTTGAGAGAAAAGAAGAAATCAGAAAGAGGTAGGCAGAAATGGATGGGGGTGGGTAAGAGAAATGGGGTAAGGGCAACTGAGGGAGAGAACATGGTAGTATATTAGGAAGATTGCTGGGTTCTGATAAAAATCTTCTGGTGAAAAATGATAATTTGTCTATTATCTCATTCAGAGATGATATATAAATTATATATTATATAGATTATGATGATATATAAATTAAACCAGGCCCTTGATGCCCTATGGTCTGGAATAATGGCAGCTGAAACTCACCAAGAATGGAAGTGGAAAAGCATTCTTCAAGGATGTAGAAACCATGAACGTGAGCTGAGCTTTTGGACTTGTCTTATATACTAGTAGGTAACCCAAATGAGTCCTAATAAAAATTCAACAATAAATAAGCACCTTTTTTATTCTAGGCACTAGAGATAGAATAGTGCACAAAACAAATATCCCTGCCCTCATGGAGCTTACATTCTAGTGCATTTGTTCAAATTAAGTAGCCCCTGGGTTAAGCTTCAGATGGTCCTAGTGGCCTGCCTTTGGGACTTCTGGAAGGGCTGTTAGGTTTCCAGCCTCGAACTGACCTAAAGCAATTTTTGCTGCCTGAAGTTCTTCAGTTCTGCAACAGTGGCTATCTGTGAAGTATCCCTAATGGGGGAAGGTCCTGGAAATCTGAGAAAAAGAATCCCAAGGCCAGGAGAAAAGGTGAGTATGTACCTGATTAAGAAATTGGAAGCGGGCGCCTGGGTGGCTCAGTTGGTTGAGCGACTGCCTTCGGCTCAGGTCATGATCCTGGAGTCCCTGGATCGAGTCCCGCATCGGGCTCCCTGCTCGGCGGGGAGTCTGCTTCTCCCTCTCCCACTCCCCGTTTGTGTTCCCTCTCTCGCTGTGTCTTTCTCTGTCAAATAAATAAATAAAATCTTTAAAAAAAAAAAAAAGAAAAGAAATTGGAAGCGAGGAGGGTCTGACAAACAGCAAGCAAATCTTTGACCATTCAGAACAGTCCTGATAGCCAAGACTGCAAGTCCCTACCCCAAACTGGGGAATTTTGGTGTCAGGAAAGAAGAGTTCCCATCTGGCATTCCAGGAACTAAACATTTGTGTGAGAATCTCAGAATGTGAGATTCCCTTTCATGGTGTTGGAAGACACTAGGCAACAGCTACCTTGAAGCCCAATACCTCCTGCCAAGCCAACCCATTCACCTTGTCTCCAGCCATGCCAGTTCAGTACTGGTGGTCCGTGCTTTTGCTTGGGGTGCTCCCTCTGTCTGCAAACATCTCCCTTCACCCTATATCAACTAGAGTTCATATGTACACCTTTTCAAAACAGTACTTGACTAAGAAATTAAATTGATCATGTGGAATTTTACCATACTGTAAAGGGTCATTGGCTTTTAAGAAATTTATTTTTGGTTAATTTAATATTTGATTTCCTTCAATGACTGTTTCGAAGTTTTCCCACTCTTTCTGCCAAATGTAAATAGAGTGACAATGGTAAATATAGTGGAAAGAGCACAGGTTTTGGAATCAAACTAGAGTACAAATCCTAGCTTTGAAACTCAGAAGCACAATGATTGTAGCCAAGACATTTAACTGTTCTGAACCCTAGTTTCTTCATCTGTCAAGTTGGGATAATACATGATGGATGTTAACTAGACTTATTGTGGTGATCATTTTGCAATATATACAAATATCTAATGTTGTATACCTGAAACTAATGTTATATGTCAATTACACCTCAATAAAAAATGACAGGGCGCCTGGGTGGCTCAGTTGGTTAAGCGACTGCCTTTGGCTCAGGTCATGATCCTGGAGTCCCGGGATCGAGTCCCGCATCGGGCTCCCTGCTCGGCAGGGAGTCTGCTTCTCCCTCTGACCCTCCTCCCTCTCATGCTCTCTGTCTCTCATTCTCTCTGTCTCAAATAAATAAATAAAATCTTTAAAAAAAAAAAAAAAGACAAAATATTTGGGATAATACTACCTATTTTATAAAGATTGTTATGAGGATTCAACAATAAAGTTTATGGAAATTAGTATATAGGAAGTGTGATCAATAAATGTTACCTGAGACAGGAGGGAACAGGAAATAGAACCAAGAGGCCTAGCTGGCTCAGTCAGTAGAGCTTGTGACTCTTGATCTCCAGGACCCGAGTTCAAGCCTCACACTGGGTGTAGAGATTGCTTAAAAAAAAAAAAGAAAAAAATATATATGGACTACAATGCATTAAGCAAAAGGTTGAATCAAAGAGTTTATTTGTAAAGTTCCAGGTTAGTTGCAGTGAAGGATACAAAGATATTATTTCCATTTTTAATGAAAATACAATCTGTCTAATATGGATTATTCAATGTTGACAATGTCAAGTCAGTTAATAAAAGCACTTTGCCATTCACAGCATTCCTGTTTACAAAGCCCTATGAATGGGTGAGGATTGTTACTTTCATAGTTCTAGCTTTTGAAATCACAATATTATAACAAATAAAAATATAATTTTACTCACAACTTCAGGGCACTAAACGTCTATTTTTCCTTCCTCAGACTTTTTCACTGGATACCTGATTTTCAGTAATCAGTCAATGGATACACTAAGATCTTTCCATGCCACAGAGCAGCTGCAATTATTCGGGTTTTACAAAAGAGGAAACAGGTTTAGAAACGTCAGTATATGTGCTGCCGAAGCGAGCACAGGTTTAGAAACGTCAGATGCAAGGGCAAGGGCAGAATGTAATTCAGATTACTTAACTTCATTCAAGCCTCATTAGTACCCCAGTAACAGTGGTAAAAAGTGGTAGAACAGAAACCTTGCTCAAATTCTTGGACGGAGGCTGCTATCAGTTGTCATTCCACTTCCTCTACTGTGGGCGTTGGACCTTTCCTCTCCCTTTTTCCTTTCCTCTTTTCCGGTCTCCCACCCTTCTGCCCAAGGCTGGATCACACCCTCTTTCTCATTTTAAAATCTTCTACACGTCATAGGGTCATTTATTCGACGAATATTTATTGAATACCGACAATAATACATACCGAAAAATGCGCTAGGTGCCGGTCATACAATGGAGAGCTTACATGAATCACGAACCACACAAACCATTTACCTTTTTATTTTCCTCTCCCTGGGAGTCTTAGCTTTCGAGCAAATGCCACAATTCCCACTCTTTTAGCACACGTTTGGGTCTCAGCCACCTAAGAGTGCTGACCCTGAACCGCCCAGAGGCGTCTACGCCCCCACTCAGGCCAACCCAACGCAGACTCCAACTCGAAATTTCCGGAAGAGGAATAAAGGTCAGAAATGGCATTTCCAAGGTGTTTCCTAGAACGAACTTCCGCCCAGCTAGTACAAACGTAGAGAGACATTCTTAGGTGAGACCTACTCAAAATTCAGAGAAGGCGTCCTACGTCTGAGTCCTCAGCGAGACATTTCATTTTTGTTGATCTAAGAGGCCGAGATTTAAAAAGAAAGGAGGAAAAAAAAAAGACAGTAGGCGGAAAAAATATCCAGTTGTCATGACAACCAAACGGGTCTTGAAAATTCAGCCAATCCGCCTGCGGGAATGCCTCCTGCCTAGCCAATAGGAAGAGCGCGCCGTACGTAAGACCGCCCAATGGGGGCGCGAGCGGCGCGATATTTGAATCCTGTAACAAGGCGACGTTGCGAAGGTCTTAGGCGGTGCGGGCCGGAGTGCGGAGCTAACGGCGCCGCGGAAGTTGGTGTCCTCCCTCTCCGGTCCGCGTCCCTCCCTGGGCCGGGCTGGCATTCTTGCCTGCCCCTTCCCACATGGCGCTGCTCCGACGCCCGACGGTGAGTGGGCCCGGCAGACCCCCCACACCGGCCAGGCTCTTCGGCCGCGCAGCCCGGTCACCCGCCTCTAGCCTCCTCTCTCTCCTGCGCAGGGCTTCTTCGTCCCAACGGGCGCCGCGCTCCCCTCCTGCCCGCTTCCCCTGCGCCCCAGCCTGCGGCCTGTCCTCTTTGCCAACCTCTCCCCTCCTCGGATCCGCTCTGGGTTCCCCGTTTCCGCCCTGGCCAGTCCAGGGGTGCGGGAAATGTAGGAGTGAGGAAAGCGTAGGAAAGCGCCTCGGAGGTGGCACCTGTCAAGTGAGCCTCTCCAGCACTGGACTTGGTACTCAGTGAGCGATCTCCGAGGGCTCTTTGTTGTTCGAGTGCTATCTAAAGAGAGGTTGTTGTAATTTCCTTCCTCTGTTCTCAAACTCCTTGCCAGCTAAGGGATGGGGGATGGGGAGAAGGACTGGAAGAAACTAGGTGGTCAACTGTTTTGAATGTTTGATCAGCCAGCAGTCATGGCTGTTTTTCGGATTTTTCACATTTCATTTTGTGTTAAGTTTCCTATTTATTTCCGCGCTCGAAGTCTTCCAGGTTAAGTTCACTAACTTATGCGTCTATCATTTTAAAAAATTAATTTCTTTAATCAAGTGTAATAAAGATTTTGCATATAATTTGGTACAAATGTAAACAGAGAGAAGGTTCCAGATTCATTTGTTTCCTCTTTGCAAAAATGCAAGTGTTAATGGTGTTTTGAATGTTTTTTTTTTTTTCTGTGGGCTTGAATTGTATCTGCGTCTACTTTTCCTTTGCTGGAAAATGGAGGGCCCTGACACACCTGAGTTCCATCCTCCTGACTATAAGCCTAGTTAAAAGCTGCCAGTTTTCCCCTCCAGATGGATTTAAACTTAGATTACCAGGCTTCGACCCATAAGCATTAAAATTTCAAACACTTTTTAAAAATTGGCAATTACTGCTGGAAAAAATTGAACAGTGTGCTTTTGAGAATCCTAATAAGTTGAATATATTCAATATTTAATTCCTATCCTTTTGTGGCTCGAAGTTGAACTGACAAGTAATTTTTGTCTAATCTGTCCCATAAAGTTCTTTCACTGTCAAATTCTTTCTATTCAGGGAAGGCTTGAGTTTTCTCCTGCCCCCTCTGTCTATCCTTGTAGATCCATTCAAACCCCCTGTTGGGAGATTTTTAAGATTAGGACTCAAATTCTCAGGGATAGTACATTCTGGTTTTTTTTCTCATGAAATGTTTATCACCTCTACAATAAAATAAACTTTTTTGTATGAATCCTTTTTCTAGCAAGTTTTGTTTCTAAGCACATTCTGTCAAAAGTAGGTTAAGGTCAACTAATGATTTTTTATTCCATACCATTTCAACTTTCTCTGAATTTGAGAGTAAAACTATTTTACCTGTGAAAACAATTTCATTTCTAAGTATCCTTAATATAAAAGAGTCCGTGCTATGGCAACCTCATTTTAAAAGGCAGTATCTCTAAAGATCATGTCTATAGGAGCACTTCTTATTTGTAGAATGGCGTGAGAATCAAAGCTAGTTTAGGTTTTAAACATCTGGACCTATTATGGCTTTTTAATAATGTTTTAATTGTACTTGTTATTAATCTCCCTAAAGTTTTTATTATAGTGAGAGCTTGCACATGTGGTTGGGGAGGGGCAGAGGGAGAGGGAGAGAGAGAATCTTAAGCAGGCTTCATGCCTAGCGCAGAGCCCGAGGTGGGGGGCTGGATCTCACGACCCTAAGAACATGACCTGAGCTGAAATCAAGAGTAGGACTCTTAACCAAGCTACTCTAAAGAAAGATTTTTAAATAGATTAATTTGGTATACAGGGATCTTTAACAAGTGGGTGCTATATAAGAAATAATCACTTATCTTGAAACCTCTTAATGGGATTATTTATTTTACAGATAAGGTGGATAAGTGATTTGCCTAATTTCAAGTGACGTGATCAATCACAAATAGCATTTTTAGTCTTCCTAAAAAAATGTATCTTTTCCCTCTCACAAATTGATCTCCGCATATTTACATTCTCCAAATTCTGCATTTGGATATCTGACATTAGCAAAGTATTATAAGTTGTCTCAATTCATCATTAACTTTCTCTCTCTCTCTCTTTTTTTTTAAGGTGTCCACTGATTTGGAGAATGCTGACACTGGAGTTAATTCTAAAGCTAAGAGTCATGTGACAATCAGACGGGCAGTTTTAGAAGAAATTGGAAATAGAGTTACAACCAGAGCTACACAAGTAGCTAAGGTAACAGCCATGAGGACTGTCCATGTTCACACTAGGCTGATTGTGTATAACTCTGAGAAGCAACACTATCTTGCCCTATTTATGTTTCTTTTTCCTTGTAGAAAGCTCAGAACACCAAAATACCTGTTCAACCCACCAAAACAAATGTCAACAAACAACTGAAACCTACTGCTTCTGTGAAACCAGTACAGATGGAAGTGTTGGCTCCAAAGGTAGGATGTTCTCTCTTTACAAACGTACGAAGTAGCTGGTTTTTGGCTAGACTGAGAGGGTGCCTTTATCATCACTGCAACTTTTTTTTTTTTTTTTAAGATTTTATTTGTTTATTTGAGAGAGAGAGAGAGAGCATGAACAGGGAGAGTGGCAGGAGAGAGAGAAGGAGAAGCAGACTCCCCACTGAGCAGGGAGCCCAATGCGGGGCTCAATCCCAGGGCCCTGGGATCATGACCTGAGCCGAAGGCAGACGCTTAACCAGCTGAGCCACCCAGGCGCCCCAATCACTGCAAGTTTTGAAGAACATTCATAACTAGAGCTGACCTTTGAATTTGTGTACAAATTGAACGTACACATCCTTTTAGTGATGGTACTTACTATAATGTTTTGACCTTGAATAACAAAGTTAATTACCTTGATAGTCAAATAAATTTAGTGATCTCAAAGTGAAATTTGGTCAGTTTTATAATCCATTATAAGAATGAGCTTGCCCATGAGGCTGTGAAATCTTACAGTTCTGAGACTCGTACTCATCATATAGGAATAAGGTAATACCAAAATTTTGTGTTGATAAATTGTGGTCTCTGTGACTGGTTAACTCAGTTGGAGTTAGAATGCTAATGGACCCATTGGCCTGTAATTACTATAGGACAGGCGCTGTTGTAGGTGCTGAGAATACAACAATCACTGCTTTGCTCTTTCCAGCGCCCGCACTTGGGTGCTCTCTCTCTCTCTCTCTCTTTCTCTCTATAATATACATTAATAACATGTCTATAACTTGTTTAACATTTTTCAAAATAATATATTGGATATATTCAAGAAATATATATATTGAGCACTTACTATGCCTATCCAGTAGTGTTAAGGCTGTTAAAGAGATATCTTGCCTTGAGGAGACTTATCCAGAAGGGGCACGTGCACCTGAAGTTAAATTAGTAGTCCCAGGGAATGATGCCAGATGCCCCTGGACAATGGATGATTGAGCTTCAAATGTCTAGGGTAGATGGAAGCACCATCCTTCAGAAAGTGTTTCTACAGGAGGGAGAGAACACTAAGGGATGGAGTGGTCAGGGGAAACTTCATGGAATCAGTGTGAATTTTAAGGATAGAGAGATGCTGATAGGAAAGAACACTTTTTTGGGGGGAACCAAGCACAGTAGGAATCAAGGCACCAAAGCAGAAGGAGTCCTATGATCTTGTCCTTGGGCTAAGGAGTCAGCACATCTAAGCTGGGTCAGAAGGTTTGTGGGAATAAGCAAAACATAAAGTTGGGGGAAAGGTTGCAGTTGGATTTGAAGGCCTTGGAATTTGGATTTTATCCCATCAGGCAGTGAGAAACCTGTGGAAAGTTTTGAGGAGGTGGGAAATGATGAAAGCAGTGTAGGCTGGCCATGGGAGGGACCTAAATGAGGAGGCATTGCAATTGTCACGCAAGAGCTGATGAGGGTCTTGAACTAGCCTGGATCTCCCCAAAGCACTCACCCACATACCACTACCTACAGGGTGCTAAGAAACCACATGGAATGTGTTGGGGTATACCAACTGGTTCCAGGGACATCGTCCTATATTTAGAAGGAATTCGTTGGCTGTGTTGTTTGCAGAGGAAGAATATGAGCCTTAAGCAAGCACTTGAGTATTTAAGAAACCATTTATGCAATAAGTTAGTAAAGAAATGGGAAAGTCAGGGAAGGGAGGTAGTTCTGGGGAAGGCACCTCATTTGGCTTTAGATTTGTTGAGGTAACAGAGAAACCTCCATGGGGAAAGGCACTCAGAAATATGCCCTCAGCATCTGAAGGAGAGGGGCAGACATGGGAGCCTTCTGCTTGCAGGTGATGGTTGCAAGCATGTTGCTTTTCCTAAGGCGGGACAGAGAGCGTCAAATCAAGAACAAAAGCCAGAACAAATCCTAAAGATCGACCTTACTTTCATAGGCCTTTCCTTGGAGGTTTCTAGTGCCTAAATGCCAAACCAAAGCAGCTTTTCAGCTTTGACCTCTTAACCATTATGTAGCATTTGATACGGGTGACTGTTTGAATGTGGTTCCTCCCACATGTCTGGAAGGTGATTTGGCAGTGTCTTTCAAAAGGTTATTCTCCATGCCCAGTAAATCTGTTTTTATCCTAAGAAAATTATTAGAGGCACACCAAGGATTTTTAAATAGTGCTGTAATGAATATCTCTTATGTAATAGAGAAATATTAGAAGATTGGTTAAATCTATCTGTTTAAGTTCAAGTATAATTAACATACAGTATTACATTAGTTTCAGGTGTACAATATAGTGATTCAACAACCCTATACATGACTCATTGCTCACCATGATAAGTATACTCTTAATCCCCCTCACCTAGTTCACCCGTTCCCTTTACCCAACTCCCCTATGGCAACCACCAGTTTTTTTTCTATATTTAAGAGCCGGTTTGGTTTGGTTGGCTTGGTTTGTCTCTTTTTTCCTTTTCTTTCCTTTTTTTTTTTTTTAAGTTTGTTTATGTATGAAATCTCTACCCCCAACATGGGACTCAAACTCACAACCCTGAAATCAAGAGTCGCATGCTTTTCTGACTGAGCCAGCCAGGTACCCCTGTCTTTTCTTTTTTCCTTTGTTCATTTGTTTTGTTTCTTAAAATCCGCATATGAGTGAAATCATATGGTATTTGTCTCACTTAGCATTAGACCCTCTAGATCAAATCATGTTGTTGCAAATGGCAAGATTTCATTCTTTTTTAGGGGCTGAGTAATATTCCATTGTACATATACCGTATCTTCTTTATATTCATCTGTGGATGGATGCTTGGGTTGCTTCCATATCTTGGCTATTGTAAATAATGTTGCAGTAAACACAGGGGAGCATATATCTTCTCAAATTAGTGTTTTCGTCTTCTTTGGGTAAATACCCAGTGGTGGAATTACCGGAGCAGCTTAAATCCATTTAATGAAAATACATGGACCATTAATATCATGTTTTGGTAGAATATTTAAAGATGTCAAAATGTATGTTACATTAGTAGAAAAATCAGATTATAACACAATAGAATGCAGTACAACCCCAGATTTCCTTTTTTTTTTAAATTTATTTTCCAGAGAGAGAGAGTGCGTGCATGTGGGGGGCAGGGAGGCCGGGGACGGGGTGGGAGGGGTAGACAGGGAGAGAGAGAATCTTACGCAGGCTTCGTATCCAGTGCAGAGTTTGATCTCATGACCCTGAGATCACAACCTGAGCCAAAATCAAGAGTTGGATGCTTAACTGACTGAGCCACCCAGGTGCCCCAGATTTGCTTTTATTTTTTTTTTATTTTTATTTTTTTAAGATTTTATTTATTTATTTGAGACAGAGAGAATGAGAGAGAGAGAGAGCATATGAGAGGGGGGAGGGTCAGAGGGAGAAGCAGGCTCCCCGCTGAGCAGGGAGCCCGATGCGGGACTCAATCCAGGGACTCCAGGATCATGACCTGAGCCGAAGGCAGTTGCTCAACCAACTGAGCCACCCAGGCGCCCCCAGATTTGCTTTTAAATGTGTGCAAAGTGTGGTTTTTTTTTTTTGATGGGGAGAGGGGCAGAGGGAGAGAGAATCTTAAGCAGGTTCCATGCCCATCACGGAGCTTGATCTCACAACCCTGAGATCATGACCTGGCTGAAATCAAGAGTTGGATGCTTAACCGACTGAGCCACCCAGGTGCCCCTAAAATTTATATGCAAAATTTGATGGTAGTTATTTTTGAGTATTATGTTGGGCTTAAGATTCATTTTCATTTTCCTCCTTAAAATTTTCAGATTTTGGGGCACCTGGGTGGCTCAATCTTTAGGTGTCTGCCTTTGGCTCAGGTCATGATCCCGGGGTCCTGGGATCAAACCCCGCATCAGGCTCCCTGCTCCGCGGGAGGCCTGCTTCTCCCTCTCCCACTCCCCCTGCTTGTGTTCCCTCTCTTGCTGTCTATGTCAAATAAACAAATAAAATCTTTAAAAAAATAAAAATTTTTCAGATTTTTTTCACCTTAGGTACATATTACTTTTCTAAAAAGAAAAACAACAAAAAGTGTTATGAACAAAACAAAGGAGAAATGTCCTCCTGTGACTTCTGCATGTCCACTCTTTCTGAATTACTCTACCTTTCCTTGGGGACTCCTTTTGCCTTAGCTTCCTGACAAATTTGAGGCCACTGTGTTTCAGATAAAGAATGATGGACCTGTAACTCCATTCGTATAAGTATCACTTCCGTGGCTGAAATGTGCTTCTAGTTTTAGAAGACATCAGGGATTAATGAACAATAATTACTTCCAATTCAAATATACTTTTCTCTGAGAAACGTAGTACAGAAGAGATCATTAAGTGCCCAGTTTAGGGGGAGCTCCTCCTCCTGGCAGACGAGCCCCTCTGCTTGCCTGGATCTGGTCAGCCATCTGGCTTTTACTTTGTCATCTGCTCTATCTGCAGTCATTGCTGCTCCTTTATAGGTGGTCCCTGGGGATGTGGCAATGCCTGTTGAGCACAGGGTTCTAGCAGCAGTGAGCCCTGGAAAATTTATAAGCCATGTGCTCATGAAAGCAGATGTTCCCAGCCAAATCCATTACTATACTCTGCAAAACCAGAGTTTGCAGCTGAATCACAAAGGGCTCTGGCTGAGAACTTGAAAGGGTTTCAGCCATTCACAGGTGTTTACAGAAGTGGATTATCCTGCCATTTTTAGAGGAACCAGTGTTTTTGTTGTTATTTATTTTTTTGCTGACCAATGAGGCTTTGGCAAACACTGAGTTGTATGTGAAAGGAAGGAGAAGATTTTTTCCTAGCCCCCTGGTTTGCTGGGCACTGGAGAAATCAGGTGAATGAGCCACCCACTCTGTCCTCAAGGAGCCCCCAGCCAAGTGCAGAAATGCCCGAGCACGCGTTCTAATAGGCTGTGGCAGAGAGAGATGCACACTTCGGAGAGGTGCCACGGGAGTCAGAGCTAGAAATTCAGATGAAGTTTTAGATTTAGAGATTTAATCTAAACACTAAATGCAGTGACAGTTGTGGGACTCTCTGATCAGATGGGGGGCCACCAAATGTGGGGTGCCAATTGGGTGGGGGCCAGCGGTGTGGGTGGTGAAAGGATTCACCCACGGCAGAACAAAAGAGAGCGATGGTTACTGACCAGGGAGCTGTGGGCCGGACAGCAATGGAGAGACTGTCTGCCAGAAGAGGGTGATGAGGGGCCACAGGTACAGGGTGGAACAAGGGAGGATGGGAATGTATGGAATTTTCCCGTTTCTGGTAATCTTCGGAATCTGTGCCTACGGCTCTTCCAGGTGGTTTGCTTAATGAGCCTGTTGGCATTCAGCTCGGTGGTCGCTGTGGGCCCCAAGTTCCCCTGCTCAAGCCTGTTGCCTAAAAATGCCTCTACAATAGTCATTCAACCATGAGGATGTTTTATGGTTAACTATCCCTAATACAAAAACTATGTATAAAGGGGAAGTAAGCACAACTTTTCACTTTTTTTTTTTAAAAAGAGTGCCTTTTATTTTTAATCACACAAGAAACCCAGTCATAACAAAGCAAAATACTACAGAAATATATCAAGTACATAGAATAGAAAGTCAGTTTATTTTTACTACTCTCCTTACCCTCCAAATTCCATTTCACTGTATTCCCTAAAGCTATTCCAGTAAATGATTTTGCCTTTTTGTAATTGTGTGTGCCTATGTTTGCGCAAGTACACACTTAACTGCTACAAATCATGAACTGTCTAATTGGAAACAACAGTTTTTCTGGGAGTCCTTTCTTGTTGCACTTAATTGACATTGTTTATTATAAATCTGGTAAATAAAGGAACTCTGGTTACCAAAAACTTGCACAAACACCTACATGTTTGCATATTAATAGTAGTACATTCTCTCACCAAACTCAGCTCAGACCCCGCCCTGCTCCTTACCAAACTGGAGCTTCTGAAGCTCAGCAAAAACTCACATTTATTGTTTCTTTTTTTTTTTTTTTAAAGATTTTAGTTATTTATTTGAGAGAGAGAGAATGAGAGACAGAGAGCATGAGAGGGAGGAGGGTCAGAGGGAGAAGCAGACTCCCCGCCGAGCAGGGAGCCCGATGCGGGACTCGATCCCGGGACTCCAGGATCATGACCTGAGCCGAAGGCAGTCGCCCAACCAACTGAGCCACCCAGGCGCCCCACATTTATTGTTTCTGACATGACTTTTCACTTGTCTCTGACAACTGACAGAACTCATTCATTAATCTAATTGGAAGGTTTTTATTCTCAGACCACTTTGTCATCCACAAGTTTGTGATGGTTAACTAGCTGAGAAAACTTTTAGCTTTGCATGCAACAGACACTGGACAGAGTATTACACAGTGGGCCCGAAGGGCTTAGGCCACTACCTGCACAGACAGTGGGATCTCAGGAAGGATTTTATAATAATTAAATTATGTTGGAGCCCAAGAGGAATGCTTTTAAGAAATTGTAAAATAAGGGCCAGAGCAATGACCCATGTGTTCTCCTGATAGCTTCGGGCTATGGCTAACCTCAGGCGTACCTCTGGGTAGACATGGGTAAGCATTTCAAGCTGCTCAGGCAGCACACATAGCACAAGACCGTAACCTCTGCCTCCTTAAACAGGCTTCCCACTACTGACTGCATTTCCCGGGGACACTGATGATGCTTATCCTTGAACTTAACCTAGCTGTATGTGCTCATTAAAATGTACATCTGATTCTAGTCACTCTTTTTTTAAAAAGATTCTATTTGGGGGGCGCCTGGGTGGCTCAGTTGTTGAACGTCTGCCTTCGGCTCAGGTCATGATCCCAGGGTCCTGGGATCGAGCCCTGCATCGGGCTCCCTGCTCGGTGGGAAGCCTGCTTCTCCCTCTCCCACTCCCCCTGCTTGTGTTCCCTCTCTTGCTGTGTCTCTCTCTGTCAAATAAATAAATAAAATCTTTAAAAAAAATTTTTTTTAAAAATAAAGAGATTCTATTTTTAAGTAATCTCTACACCCCACATGGGGCTCGAACCCACAATCTCGAGATCAAGAGTTGCTCGCTGTACCAACTGAGCCAGCCAGGCGCCTCTGATTCTTGCTGCTCTTGATCAGTTCCTTCAGTGGATTCACTTCCCTTTTGGTAAAATGTAAACTCCTTAGCCGGGTTCTCGCTCACCTTTCCAGCCCATCTTCTCACACGTCACGCACTAGCTCCTGCCATCCCAAATCAACGTGCACTTCCCAGACTTCGTTTCTTTGTTTCTTGGCTTCCTCTGGGACTCTGTACTTGCGTACCTTTTGCCCACTCATTTTCCTTGAGGTCTTACCCTCTCTGGTAACCTTATCTAGGTTTCTCCCTAGTGCCCCAAGTAGCTCTTATTCATTCTAGTCCCTTGAGGTTTGAAAGTTCTTGAATAAATGGCACGTATACCTGCATGACTCTTGCTCAGTTGGCCCTCCCTCAGTTTGAGAACTGATGTAGGAGGGAAGGATGGGTTTTGAATTGCTATATATATTTTGCTGTTGTTGTTTCATCCTTCCTTAAGCCTGGAAACTATCATCACTGAGCTTCAATGTCCATTAAAATTGTTTATTAAAAAAAAAAATTAAAAAAAAATTGTTTATTATACAGCCTTCTCTCTTTCTGTATTTTATTTCTTTAATACATACTCTTTATAGCCTAGCAGGCTTGTTAGGTTTTACTTCGAGAAGTACCTCTTATTCTTTTAAAAAGTAATGGGTTATTTATACTTCATTACTAAACACTTGTTTTAACTTACTTTATAAATTTTTAATTTGTATGATTTTTTTTTTTTTTTTTTAATACTCACCCAGTCAGCGTAAGAAAATACTGGATGTGTACTTGCTCGGTCTTTGCTTCCTTCTATTTTATTCATAGGCCGGAATGCGCTTTTCTGCTTTTTAGTTGCCAGTTTCTCAATTCAGAATAAATTAGTTTATGAGGGGAAATCTGTATACCCACAGAAGAGGCTACAGCTGAAGTGAACTGTCAGCTCTAAGAGTTTCTGCACCTAGGTGTTTAAGTTTCTTTCACTCAGTAAATATTTACTAAGCACCTACTATGTGTCAGGGATGATGTAGACATTTGAGATGCTGTAGGGAATAAAATCAGTTTAAATAAATGTATTATTTATTTATGAATGTATTTATAAATATATTATTTTCTACCTCTGCTACCTCCATAAGCTCTGTAGAGCTGACAGTCTAGCAGAGGTAGACAGAAAATAATATACATCATATATAAGTAAACTCCACAGTATGTTACAGCGTTACAGGTTCTATGGGGAAAAACACAGTAAGAGAAATGATGCATGTGGAGAGGGGGGCATAGGGGACAGATGGTAATTTAAAACAGGGGTCAGGATAGACCTAATTGAGAAGGTAACATTTAAACAAAACTTGAAGGTGAGAGAATTGCCCATGGGGGTGCAGGGATAAGAGCAAGAGCATTGTGGGAAGAGGGAGCCTGCTTGCAGTGAGGGAGGCTGCCATGAGGCCAACCAAGGGGAGAGAAATAGATGGGTCAGCAGAGGAAGAGGGCAAAGCCCGATCATGCAAGCCCCCAAGGCCATCATGAGGACTCAGGTTTTCCCTTGGAGTGAAATTAGAGAATTTTAAACAGAGGAGTATATCTCTAAAAACTTCATCTACTACACCTTGAATTATTCACCTTACTCTGAAATTTGTTTTGGCTTTCACGTATTTTAAAAATGCATATGATACTTTTAAACCAGTTGACTCTGCTCGTATTTGGCTCTGATTAACAATTAAGGCTACTGCCAAGGTAGTGATGCATGCACTTTAATTCGTTCATGTAGGGTCCTTCCATCCCACAGGAGGATATCTCCATGAAGGAAGAGAATCTCTGCCAAGCTTTCTCTGATGCCTTGCTCTGCAAAATCGAGGACATTGATCATGAGGACTGGGAGAACCCTCAGCTCTGCAGCGACTACGTTAAGGATATCTACCAGTATCTACGGCAGCTTGAGGTGAGTGGGCCTTTGTGTTTTGGTTGTGCAAGCAATGCGGCATTTACCATACAGCTGGGAAGGAAATGAGGTCAGCCTTTAAAACTTTGAATTCCACCGACAGGTTCTGCAATCCATAAATCCACACTTCTTAGATGGAAGAGAGATAAACGGACGCATGCGCGCCATCCTGGTGGACTGGCTGGTGCAAGTCCACTTCAAGTTTAGGCTGCTTCAGGAGACTCTGTACATGTGCGTCGCCATCATGGACCGATTTTTACAGGTGAGCGTGGCTTCGGGGGCTCACTGTAATGGCATTCTGCAACACCAAAGGCTGATACCTGAAGAAAAGATCAAAAGCCACTTGGTGAGAAACCAAGGAACTTGAGCGGCTAGAGGGAGAAGTAGCTAGGTGTATCCAACCTCTGATGATGCTGACCGCTGCTGGGTGTTTCTGCTAGGTCAGCCTGCCGAAAAGTGCTGGGGGGTCGGGGGCTTGGCACTGCGTGGCCAGTCGTTCCTCCGAGCAAACATACCAGCAGGAGGTCTGAAAGTCAGCCCGAAGCCTGTGGTGCCTGCGGGTGCTGGTTTTCCAGGCCTGCTTCCACGATTTCCCGGCAGCTTGTAGTTTGGTAATCCTTGGTTAGGTTTCCTTGTCTGAAAAATGAGGAGTCTGGCTAGAGAACTTGGCAGTTTCCAGCCAGCTGTGGCGTGAAACCGTGTAGAAGAGAGAGGAGGCAGGATTGTTAAGAAAGGGGTCGGGAGTGTGTGTGGGCAGTGTACTGAGAATGGGAGGTCTGAAGCCGAGGAATGTAAGAGATTCAGCTGAGAGGCAGAGTGGTCATGGAAATAGTTATTGCCTGGTGACACAAAATGCTGACCACTTAGAAGAAACGCCAGACAGAAAGCACTCGTGTGTGATACACCAGCCAGGAGCCCTGCAGATTGGGATTTATTTATTTCAAGTCAACATTTATGATACAGCTCAGGTACAAATTCTGCCCCAACAGTACAGTAATAATGGTGATTATTATAATAATGACCCTGAGATACTGCAGAATCCTAAGAAAGCATAGATTCAGTGGCTTGCATTATACATTCCTCACTGGGTAGGAGAGCAGTTATATTTTAGGTAGATTTTCAATAATGAGAGTTGAAGCAAGGAAAGCCAAGTCTCTTTTATTTTATTTTTTTTATTTTTTTAAGATTTTAAAAAATTTGTTTGACAGAGAGACACAGCGAGAGAGGGAACACAAGCAGAGGGAGTGGGAGAGAGAGAAGCAGGCTTCCCACTGAGCAGGGAGCCTGATGTGGGGCTCAATCCCAGGACCGTGGGATCATGACCTGAACCGAAGGCAGACGCTTAACGACTGAGGCACCCAGGTGCCCTGCAAAGTCTCTTTTAAAAGAAAAGGGAATTTAAGGGAAACACCCTGAACTGAGATTTTCCCCGACTCTAGAGCCTCTTTGGAGATTCTTAATGCTGAATAATGAGTGTACTTTTGGTAAGGATTAAGGAAGTGTTTGAGAGACCCTCCCCTTCCTCATCCCTAGGCATCCATTATTTAATCCTGCTGTTTGGCTGGGCCTCATCTTGATGCAGACATGTTGAATGCCATGTTGGGGCTGCCCCCAGGTACTCAAGCCAGGATGACAGGGCTGGAGCAGACTAGGAGCTTGGTTCTCAGGCATAATTCTTCCCTACTGAGCAATTGAGTGATCTGGAGCTAGTGTCTGAATCTCTTCTCAGGCCATCTCTTTGCAAGTAGGGGAAAATACATTCGCTTCCTAGGATTTTTGCAAGGATTCAATGAGATGATTTTTGGCATCTTAGCACTGTGCCCAGCATATACTGAATGCTCAAATAACAGACGGCTGCTGGGAGTAGTGATGGTACCCACTATTTTTTTTATTTTATTTTATTTTATTTTTAAGTAATCTGTCTACCCCATGTGGGGCTCGAACCCACAACCCCGAGATAAAGTCACGTGCTCCACCAACGGAGCCAGCCAGGAACCCTTGATGGTACCTGCTATTAACACAGATGTTACCTGTGCTTGTAAGATGGGTGTGAGCAGAGACAACGTGTACTTCTCCAGGACGTGGTTCCCTCTCACTTCCTTCCACCCAGAGCCCCAGTCCTCTCGCTAGGTAGGACTTCTGACACATTCTTCTTCAATTAGGTTCAGCCTGTTTCTCGTAAGAAGCTTCAACTGGTTGGGATTACAGCTCTGCTTTTGGCTTCCAAATATGAGGAGATGTTTTCTCCAAATATTGAAGACTTCGTTTACATCACAGACAATGCTTATACCAGTTCCCAAATCCGAGAGATGGAAACACTGATTTTGAAAGAACTGAAATTTGAGTTGGGTCGACCTTTGCCACTACATTTCTTAAGGCGGGCATCAAAAGCTGGGGAGGTAAGTGCCTCCGGTTCTATATGAGACTTGATTTTGCTGTTTGTTGTCTTATCCTGGAAACGTTGATCCAATTAAAGGAAAACGTAGGCATTTATAGGACACATCTTTTCGATAGGTCCTAATGCTTATCAGTTCTTTTTTTTTTTTTTTTAAGATTTTGTTTATTTGACAGAGAGAGATACAGCGAGAGAGGGAACACAAGCAGGGGGAGCGGGAGAGGGAGAAGCAGGCTCCCCGCCGAGCAGGGAGCCCGATGCGGGGCTCGATCCCAGGACCCTGGGACCATGACCTGAGCCGAAGGCAGACGCTTAACGAGTGAGCCACCCAGGCGCCCCAATATCTCATCAGTTCTTACGAGAAAAGACCTCATGCTCTGTGTTTGTACCATACTGTGGAATAGGGTAGTTGCTGGGCAGACCAGTGAGTCGAGTGGCTTTGAGCTCCTAGGCCTTTGCCCAGGATTTTGCAAGAGGGTAATAGTAGCTGTGCTTCTTACTGTCCGCGGCTGTTCTTTCATAGGTCGATGTGGAACAGCACACTTTAGCCAAATATCTGATGGAGCTGACTCTCATTGACTACGACATGGTGCATTATCACCCTTCAAAGGTGGCAGCGGCTGCATCCTGCCTGTCCCAGAAGGTTCTGTGCCAAGGAAAATGGGTAAGTGTTGGGTTAAGAAGAAATTAGGTTCTATTTTCGGCCCCCTTGATATGAAAGGCCTTAGCATTTTCCGCACACTATCCTCGAGGCAATGGTTGAAATCCAGAGGCCTAAAAGAAGGCTGCTTGGGACGCTTCAGACAGAGGTGAGGCAACCACACACAGCATGGCACCAAGTGTGCTCTAGAGTTGTGAGGCCTGAGCCAGGCCACCGGCAACTGATGTGCTCAGGTTTCTGGGATCTTTGCTTAAGTGAAACAAGCAAGCCATCAAGCATCTAAGACAAAGCAAGGCCAAGGCCTCACTGATTTTGCCAGTAAAGGTAAAAGGAGCCACTTTTAGATTCATACAAGTAGCCAGAGTTGCTGGCAATCACACACACCAAAAAAGGACAACCGAAACAAAAGGGACCAGATGACTGCAGTGTGAGTCGTGGGATACCCTTTTGCGGACGAGCTAATTCTAGACTGCCACTAAATAGCTTTATAGTCTGTAGATGTACCCCAAGAGCAACAGAACGAAAGCCTCATCAGAAACCAGGTGTTAAGAAACAAGTCTCATGATAGCCTCTCAGGGGAGATTCAGAAGGGAAAGCGAGCACTCCTCCCACACCCCTATCCTCTTGTGTTCCAGGAGGATCACAAAGCATTTTGCCAAGACAGATAAGCTGTGGTTCAGGCCTTTGCCTGGGTGGCCCTATGTAGATATGTGTGAGATTGCCAGGGCACCATGGCAGAACTCTTCCTCTACACGAGTGTATACATTTGACATCTTCTATGAGAAAGAAGGGGAATAAGAGAGTGGTATATGTGTGCTTATGTATTTTCTAATTTTTCAAAAACTACACGTAAACCAGAAACTAATGAAAATGATACCTGTGGGGTTGGGTGGGAGCAGGGTAGAAGGCTGAGGATGGGAACAGGACTTCTGGTTGTAACTTTTTATCAACTGTATACAGTATAACGTAACTTTTTTGACTTTTGAACAATATGAGTGTTCATATATTGAACAATATGAGAGTCCCTAAATGGAATTAAGCAGAAACAACAATGTCACTATATATCAAGTTGGTAACAACACAGAGGGAAGAATTAATTCAAATAACTTTTGAAGGCAGTATTTGGACTGTGCATCCTTACTGGTATGCAGCTAGACAAAACAAAGGACCGAAAGAGGTAACAGACTTCAAGTTTACTTAGGAGCTGTATTGTTAGTAGTGTTCTGTTATTGTAATTGCGAGACTATTTTTATGAATATTATAGGATAAAACCACCATTCGTGTTACCAAAAACTAAAATTTTCACTATAAAAAGATAATATATGTTAACAATTAAAAACAAAAGGAGGGGTGCCTGGGTGGCTCAGTCGTTGGGCGTCTGCCTTCGGCTCAGGTCATGATCCTGGGGTCCTGGGATCGAGCCCGCATCGGGCTTCCTGCTCGGTGGGAAGCCTGCTTCTCCCTCTCCCACTCCCCCTGCTTGTGTTCCCGCTCTCGCTGTCTCTCTCTTTGTCAAATAAAATCTTGAAGAAAAACAAAGAAACAAACAAAAGGAAAACACCTATAACATTAAATCTGTTTTCAAATTGTCAGTAAATTAAGAATGAGAGGGCCTGGAAACAATGATAATCCTGTAGCAATGAACACACCCAGTGCCTACATCTTGGATACTAAATGCCGTTACCCACTAAGAACTAGGTCTCCTTTGAGAAACAGCTGAGATCACGGCCGTGGCAGAGGAAGTATAAGGTGAGCCTAGGTCAATTTGTAATAGATACTGAGCAAGTTCTCAAAGATCTACGTCAAAAGGACATAGGAACTGGCTTGAAAGGGTTCTGACTAAATCTGAGCTTTAAAAAGAATAATGACAGTAATAGATTGTAATGCAGTTTTTAAAAATCCATGCATTTATAATGACACAAAAGAAAGTATGGAAGGGGGGCTCTTTTTTTTTTTATCAGTAAAATACCAGCTAATTAAGGCAGAAAGAATGGTAGAGTTAGAAATGAGATTGTAACTCCTGATGTAATAACTGATTCAAGTGAGAATCAACTGATGATACCTTTATCATTAGGTGAAATTGTTTTGGAGAACAAGATTCACATGGTCTCAAAATATGACCCCACAGATCTGTAGTAATTCTGAAGAAAAACTGTACCTTTGTGCTAGAGAGGTCTGGCAGTTACCACCTTAACCTGGTGATCAATCTTGGCATCACCGATGGTAATGCTACCTGACTTGACAGGTCTTCTGGTGCAGTAGGACGTATACAGGATCGCCTCTATGAAATTCTTGCCCAAAATGTTTGACACGAATCCAGTCATCAGGAAACACGCAGATTTAAAATGTTCTAAAAGTAACTGGCCTGGATCCTTCAAACAAGTTGTCATTTAAAGCCAAGAAAATAGGAGTCGTTTTTAAATTTAAAAAAATTAAAGACCAGATACATGGCAGGTACCTTGATTGCACCTGGATCTAAAAGAAAAATCTGTACAAGATATTTTTGGAACAATGGGAGAAATTTGAATATAGACTATGTACTAGATGATAGTGTGGAAATGTTGATGTTTTTTCTGTGATAACGGTTTGTGGCTAGATGGGAAAATACTTCTTAGGAATGTTTTTGAAACATTTAGAAGTGATGTGTCATGGCGTCTGCAACTCATTTTCAAATAGTTCAAAAATTGTGCGTGAATACATACATACAGAATTTTTGCTGAACCATTTGAAATTGAGTTAGTTGCAGACACCAAGAGAGGGAAAGTGGAAAAAATGTTAATAATAGATGAATCTACACAAAGGATATACAGATGTTCATTATAATATTTCAGTTTTTCTGTAGATTGGAGATTTTTTGAAATTAAAAGCTTGAGGCAACAAGGCTGCTTATACATGAATGATACATGGTCCTGATACCAGGGGCTCATTTTAACTAAATTACTTTACTCTTAGACCTGCCTTCCTTGGGCTCTAAACCTATTAACTGCAGGTCTCCCTGTTTTCTGGGAATTGATTTCAAAAGGCCAGTAGTTGTGTGTTATTTCAGGATTGCTCTTGCTTCATCCTTTTGTTCTTTAAGCTATTTTAGGACTAAGATTAAATTGTGATTTATTTTCCCAATCATATTGTGCATATGAGACAGATGTATTTTAACCTTTAGAATTTTATTACAAAACTAAAATAAAGTCAGGTTACATATCTTCACACACGATAGGTCTTATTATCAATCAACAACTGTTCTGTTGCTCGATTTTTGTTCTCTGGGAGGCTAGGTCAGAAGGCTGGGGGTAGAGGCTTCTCTATTCTCTGTTCTCCAGTGCTCAACTACGCAGGGCCCCACAAGAGAAGCCTGGATTTCATAGATTAGTTTGCCGCCTGCGGCCCAGTTTATTTCTTAATTCTGAACCTCTTTCCCTGACTGACAATATGGGTGTCTGGGCTCTCGAGCTCCCCACCAGCCGCTGCCCAGTAGGGCTTTGATTGGGGTGGGGGGGTACATGTGAGATGTGCTAGTCCTGGGTCTCTGCCAGTCCTGTGAAGGGGTCATTCCTTTGTTGGGTTTTGTTTTTACTCTGTCCCACTTGCCATCCCCTTTCAGTGCGGTGAGAGAGGCTAGCGTGAAAGCTTTGTCACTTGGAGCACCTTCTATACCTGTGCAACCTTCTTTAAAAGTTGATAACATGGGACCGTTGACACTTGATTTAGCTGAAGCTGCACAGCGTCTTAATTTAGCCTTGCTCAGAGCCAAAGTCATCTTGCATTTACTGGCTGCTTTGCTGGGACCACGATAGTGTTTAGGGCTGCTGTTGTATTTTCAGAAGGTAAGCATATCGTTTTATAGCTTTTACATAAGTGGTAAGTGATGTCAACGTGTATCAGATAATGCTCTTCTAAAGAAGTGGAGGCTTTATCTTGCCCCTTCTCTTTGCATTGCGTTCCAGAACTTAAAGCAGCAGTATTATACTGGATACACAGAAAATGAAGTCTTGGAAGTCATGCAGCACATGGCCAAAAATGTAGTGAAAGTTAATGAAAACTTAACAAAATTCATCGTAAGTACTCCTTCCTAAACTGTGAAAAGCATTAGAATACGGGTTTTGTGAGTGAGGGTATGCATATGTATGTGCGTTTGCGTTTTCATGGAAATGTAATACTGACATTTGTGAGAGTCTGTTGTAGCACAAACTCTTTTCTAGTACAGCAGGGGATGGAGCATACGGATATACCCCACAAGCAGACTCTTTAAGACAAGGTAGCTAGGCTAACCGTGTCCAGGCCCAGTGTAGTCAGCCAGCCATCCCATGCCTCCACCCACACTCGTCCTGGCATCCTGGGGAGGGCACGCAGCAGTCAGGGCAGGTGCTCACCGTGTCGTCTGGAACCCCTTAAATGGCCCTGTGGAAGGCTTGGGGACTTGGGGCCTCTGTCCAGGATCCTCTGGGACAATGGCCAAAAGGCCCCTGAATGCAGGTGAAGAAGGAGGGGCAAGAAGCCCATTCAGAAAGCTTCCTGGGGGCCTGGTGCCTGTCTCCGTGTGGCCCACCTGAGAGGTGGAGGCAGAGCGGATTGGGCACTGTCCCGTGCTTGTGTGACACCGAATATCACCAAGGATCTGGTGACAAAGAGCAAGGCATTTGTGCCAAGTGTCCTGACAACCTGCTTTGCTTCCTTGCATGTAGCTTCCGCGTAATTGAGCGCACTGCGGAAGTGTGAGGGTATTGTCTGGGATCTGCTAAGCACTGGTTGCCATTTGGCTTTTGTTGTCATTGTTGCTGCCTGTCCTGGCAGACCTGTTATGGCCTGGTGGCACTTAGGTCTGATAAACACAGCTCCCACCTCCCACCCCTCTGGCAATGTAGGAGAGAGAGCCTACTCCTTGGACCTTGACATCATTTCTTCCGCCCTCACCGGTGCTACCAGCTGGGTTTTATCCGGTGCTGGGCAGGGAAGGAAATTGTCAGGTGTCGCACATTATGACCTCAGAGCGCTCGCTGGCTTCAGTGAATCGCCATCATCCTACCAATTGGAGAGATTGTGGGTCTGGCCCCTAAATACTTGTGAGTTAGACCAGGAGTGAAGTAGAAGGTGGGGGTCCTGATGTGTGCTTAATCACAGATGACTTCTGCAGGCCATCAAGAATAAATATGCAAGCAGCAAACTCCTGAAGATCAGCACAATTCCTCAGCTGAACTCAAAAGCTGTCCAAGAGCTTGCCTCCCCTCTGATGGGACGGTCCTAGGCTGCTGTGGCCCTCGGGGAAGAGTGCTCCGTCGTGCACTTGGTCTCGCTGATTTGGAGCTCTTCACTTTGTATATAGTCCTCTGGTCTATTTCATGAAACCTTTCCTTAGACCTATTTTCTAAAATGTATATTGAGGAAAAATAAAGCTGTTAATTTTTCTTAAAGTGTCCTGTGTGTTTTTTATTTATTCAATCTATACTGAACAAGATCAGTAGAAGCTTGGTTTGACTAATATCTTTTTGAGCTGTTATGGGTAGCATGTAAATTATTGTCTTTGTGGCTTTGGGAAAGATCTTCCTACCATTTTCTCAAATGGAACAAACTAGAACTTGGCTTCAGTGATTGCTAACCCATTCCTAAACTTCTGAAATATACCAAGATTGACTCATTATGAAAATTGAAAATGGGAGGATAACCATGACAGTTCTCTTTCTAGAACCTACTCAACTATCTTCTCATTCCTACACAGGAACGCCTGGCCCACTGGGGTGAGGGCCACCAGAAGCAACCCTCATAATGTGTCTGTGTCTCAAAGGCATGGTGGGACCAGGAATGTCAGTCCTAAAGGACCACCGCTGGAAAACGAAAATGGGCCTGCGACACCTTGTTAGAGTTGAAGGTTGGAATGCATTTTCCTATTTCAGCCACCTCGTAGGTTACTATTTGTTATTATTTTTTGGTGGGCAGTTGATCACATTTAACATTATTTTCTACGGGGGAATGCATTCTCGGTCTCCAACCACTAACTTAAAAAAAAAAACACCATAAAATAAATGAGTGCCTTATAGCAACAACTTCCCAAACTATTAGTTCAACACATGTTAATTGCTTTTGACAAGAAAGGAGCTAGTCAAATACATTTGGGAAACACTGCAACTCACTTTGAGATTCATACAGGCTCTGAGAAGTTTTGCAGTAAATTCCTTTCTTCCCCCAGTCGAGAGTGTGGTAAAGCTGCCTTGTGTGGGGCAGCGAGGTCTGCGGGTGCTGGTTCTGGGACGCAGCTGTGGCTTGTGCCTGGCCTGGGAGGAGAGCCTGGCTGGCTCCGGCTAGGGCTCGCTCCCCATCTCTCTCCCTAGGCAGGTCAGGGCCGCCTACAGAAGTCTGTAGGTGCCAAGCGCTCAAGCACAGGGAACCTGGAAGCTGTGTATGTTGAAATCCCAGTGTAAAGCTTCTAAGTGTCTCTGGTTGAACGAGACTTGTTCCCATGGCAGCCTTAGACTGACTTGGGTCACACATGTGAATAGCAATGAAGTGAGACCATGCAGGGAGCTTTCCTGGCTCTGAAAAGCCAAGTTAATTGCCCAGGGATGCTTGAGCTCCAGCTTCTCATCAAGAAGCGACGGGTTTTGTAGGAATATTCTGAAGACGTTTTATAGCTTCCTTATTATATATTTTGCTTAGTTAAATATTAAATAGTCTGATTCAGGAAATTCATACTTCCAGAATGTCATAAAAAAAAAAAGACCTTTCAGATACTTCCTTATGTGCCTCAGCAGGCACCCAAAACTAAATTAGTGTTATAAATGTGAAATAAGCTATAAAAGTAGAAATCATAATATCGTAAAAACACTGAAATTAGAAAATGAGATGATGTAAGCACAGTATTTGAAGAGCACAGATCCTGAAGCTGGATTGCACGGGTTGGAGTCTCGTTCGCAGCTGTGGGATCTCTGTGCCCATGTCTGTGTGTGTAGAATGGGGGTCCGAGCATCTCCCTCATAGTGTTGGAGTACTGACAAAGGTATGGCAAGCCCTTAGCGCCGCATCTGGACGTGCTCCAATGTTCGTGGCTGTTATTTTAAGGAAGTTGATGGTCTTGGAAAGAGATGGACTCTGGGCATTCAAAGATATGTAGACACCGCCCTTCCCGTCAAAGGAGTTTGCAAATTTAAAGCTGTGGAGTCTTATTTGTGAGTTTTTCTTCTTCTTTTTATTTTGGTTCTTGATTATTATTATTTTTTTGGTTCTTGTTCTTTGAGAAAAGTATAATTGGAAGTTGGAAGGCTGACAATTAGACTATCAAACTCCTTGATATTAGCTGGAATGAAGACAGAGATGAAAAGCACCGGCCTTGGGGGTCAGATCAGGGGTCAAATGATGGTTCCTCTCCTTACGAGCTACATGACCTGGGGCAAGGGAGTGAACTGTACTGAGCCTTCTTGCGAGTGGTTTTAGACGAGGCCATGCCTGTCAGAGGGGCAGCTACAGTGCTGTAGGAGGGAAAGGCGTCCGGTAGCTGGTAAGAGTAAAATAAGCTAATTCAGGAGCAGCTGTGAAGGCCAGCGAGGCCTTGGGAGAAACCCAAAGGGAGGCAGCAAAGGGAGCAAGCGACATAGCAGAATGGCTCCCACTCTTTGACCATAAAAGTCAAGGGAACCGGGGACAGCAGTAGGTTCTCCCCGGAAGATGCATCCCGTGCACACAGTGCTCCTGAAACCGGACTCTGCCCCCACCTGCTGCTGAAAGCACTGTAAAAGCAGCCAGTAGAGCCAGGGCCGGCCTCGTCTGCCCAGCGGCACGCAGGGGAGGGCTGCGGAGTTTGCAGGGAGTCCGGATGGGAAAAGATTGGGATTCTGTACAAGCCCTGCTCCGTGGCACGCCAGTGGAGGTCGTCAGTTATGGGGGCACACAGCCGTGTTGTCTCGCACTTGTTCTCGTGGACTGCTCTGCCTGGAAGGAGGAAGCTCTCCCTGGTGCCCTGGATGAGCTGCTCTCTGCACTGAGACTTGCTGTCCCCAGCAAGAGACTCCCAGCTTCCCTGGCAGTTGAGGCCAGGTGACTAAGTTCCAGCCACTAGACTGTGAGTGGACATGGTGTGTGCACGTTGCAAGGAATGTTCTTTAAAAAAGAAACTGCTTCTCATCCCCTTTCCACCTTCATAGGGCTGGACTTGGTAATGGTGGTGAGTCACGTTTGATCAGATGGGCTGGGACAATACATGTGCATGGTTTGCACGACTGTTGGCAGAACAGGTTATAAGAAAGGCCTCACCCTTTGTCCTCTCCGTGGGCATTAGTCTGGCGTCCTGAAACATTGGGGAAGAGATGGCCCTTTCACATGATGTTTTCAGAGAGCCAGCTGCACCCCCTGTTCATTAGCACTTAGCCCCTCTGGTGGTTCTCAAAATGTGGCCTGGGGGTCCTTGAGACTCCTTGAAGAAGGCCATGAGGTCAAAACTATTTTCATGATAAGACTAGGATGTTAGTTGCTTTTTTTCATTCTTGTCTGTCATTAATGTGGTGGAATCTTCCAGAAGCTACATGACATGTGATGATGTCCTCACTCTGGTGGTTAGTAGAATGTGTATGTGGTTTTGGTGTTTTTAAATTTTTCTGTTTGAATTTCTAATATAGTAAATACCAATAGCTGTACGGACAAAAGCAGAACTCTGAGGTCTTCAATAATATTGGAGTGTAAAGGGGTTCTGAGGCCAAAAGGTTTGAGAACTGCTGGTCTGCTACTCGTTGAACATCTCTGCCTGAAGGAACGTTCAAGCCTGCTCAAGGTGCTTGGTTACTTTAAACCTCTGGTTGAAGGGCTCTCTCACATCCTTACACTGCGTTTTCCACATGTGTGGTGTATGTGCACAAGCACACCATCATCCCAAACAGGATGGCGTGTTCTAGAAGGCAGGGGTGGCCCCTTGATCTTCTTTACATACAGTCTCCCAGGTGAAGTGACTCTTGACCTAACTAACAGGGAACAAAATGGCAGGCCTGGCTAGATGCGGAGCCAAGAGAAACCTAGGATCATGACTTCAGTGAATTTACTCACCTGTTTAAGCAACATTGAGGACCTCCTCGAGCCTGGCACTAGGTAAGGCACATGGGTGCAGGGCTGGGGCTTGCTCTGTGACCCCCGCGAGCCGGGGCTGTTCTAGCTGCTTGTGTGGATGTTAGACTCTGTTCCTATGTTGTCACCTAGAGCCTGAGGGGTCCCAGTTACACACCAGTTTTAAAGGCCTATCATTAAATTAAAAGCAGCCAAGATTGATTCCCCCCCATTTTTTTTAATGCATAACATTAGGAAAATTATGTAAAGCCAATAATTTTTGAGTATAGCTGACACAATGCTATAGTAGGTTCAGGTATAGAACTCAGTGATTTGACAAGTTTATACATTATGCTGCGTTCCCAAGTGTAGCTGCCATCTCTCTCACGGCCTCACTATTACAGTGTCATTGACCGCATTCCTTATGCTGTGCCTTTTATTCCCATGACTTGTTCATTCTATGGCTGGAAGCCTGGATCTCCCAATCCCCCTTGCCCATTTCGCGATCTCCCTACCCCCCCCGCCCCTCCCATTTCTCTGTATTTATAGGTCTGATTCTGTTTTTTGTTTGTTCTTTTTTTCCTAGATTCTACTTATGAATGGAATCATATGGTGTTTGTCTTTTCAGCCTGTCCATGTTGTCTCAAGTGGCACAACCTCATCCTTTTTTTGAATACATTTTTATTTAAGGAATTTCGCAAGTGATTCCTTCCACTGCCCAAGGTCACCTTAGTTCCTCCAAAGCTTTAGTTAACATTTATCCTCAAGATAGGCCTTTTCAAAATAACTTATATTTAATTCAGGCTGTCCTGTCACTTGGCCCCAAATTCCTTTTTTTTTTTTTTTTTTTTAAAGACCCTGAGATCATGACCTGAACTGAAATCAAGAGTTGGCTGCTCAACCAGCTGAGCCACCCAGGCATCCTGGAACCAAACTATACTTTAAACATTATTTGTTATTGTTCTGTTCTTGAACACACAGAATTAAGTGGTTTACTTTGTTCTAAGTTCAGATACATTTTTTTTTCCTTATATGTAACCCCTGATAATTTTTCCCCTGGACTCAGGAATCTTGGAATGACAAAAAGGTGTGTGCTGGTCAAACCCTACTTTCCCAATAGCTTCAGAAAGGCCGAGGCAACCAGGAGAAGGAGAGGCAGAGAAGAGACCGTCTCCCCCGAGAACCACTGCCTCATCGATAGACATTCCATCGTTTCCGACTTTTCACTATTACTGCAATAACCACCGCTCTGGCCTGCTAGTCTCGCCTTCACAAAGTGCCACCGACTGGGTGGTTTACTGACAGAAATGGACTGTCTTCCAACCGTGGAACCTAGAAGTTCAAGATCTGCTGCGTGTGGGTAAGGTTGGTTCTTTCTGAGGGCTTTAAAGGAAGCACATCTGTACCAGGCCCCTCTCCTTGGCTGTAGTCGGCTGTCCCTTCACGTCCTCTTCCCTGTGTCCATCCGTGTCCAAATGTCCCCTTTTTACCTGGACACCAGTTATATTGGTCTGGGGCCCAAACTAATGACCTCATTTTAACTTGATTATCTCTGTAAAGACCCTCTATTTCCAAATAAGGTCATACCGTGGCGTACTGGGGTTTAGGGCTTTAATGTATCTTTTTTTTTTTTTTGAGGAGATAGGGAGACACACTTCCACCCATAACAAATGTCACAAAAGAACAGGTGGTTCACTGATTCCTTTATTTATTTAGGAGGTAGGGGGAGGGACAGGGGACAGAGGAAAATTACCTACAGGGCAAGGGTTGAGGAGGATTTGCAGGGGCTGGGCTAGAAAGCAGTAACACTGATTCTATAGTTGAAAAGGAGTAGTGCACATTTGTAAGTACCTGGTGGGAGATTTGTAATAAAACCTACCTTACGAATAAGTACAGTGGAATACTACTTAGTACATTCATACATGTTTCTACCATCTTAAGATTTTTATATATACAGTATATGATCTGTTTTTATAAATGTACAGCTTGAAAAAAGAGAT